TTTGTATGGCTTGAAGCAAGCACCAAGAGCATGGTATGAGAGATTGAGAGATTTTCTACTCTCTAAGGGATTCAAGACGGGCAAGGTTGATACCACTCTCTTTACCAAGAAGCTAGGCAATGACTTATTTGTGTTGCAAATCTATGTTGATGATATCATATTTGGATCAACCAATCAAGATTTTTGTGAGGAGATTAGAAAGATGATGGCAAGTGAGTTTGAGATGTCTATGATTGGAGAGCTTAGTTACTTCCTTGGTCTTCAAATCAAGCAAATGAAGAATGGTACATTTGTGAGTCAAGGCAAGTACATCAAAGACACGCTCAAGAAGTTCAGAATGGATGATGCTAAAGCTATTAGTACACCAATGGGGACAAATGGAAACTTGAATAGTGATGCTAGTGGCAATATGGTAGATCAAAAGATGTATCGGTCTATGATTGGAAGCCTACTCTATGTGACTGCATCAAGGCCAGATGTGATGTTTGGTGTATGCATGTCTGCTAGATTTCAAGCCTCACCGAGAGAGTCATTTGAAAGCAACCAAGAGAATATTGAGATACTTGAAGCATACACAAAATGTTGGATTGTGGTATTCCAAAGGAGCTAGATTTGAGTTGATTGGATATTTGGACTCCGATTATGAGGGATGCAAAGTTGAGAGAAAGACCACATCAGGTACATATCAACTATTGGGAAGATCACTTGAGTCATGGTCATCAAAGAAGCAAAATACTGTAGCACTTTCAACCGCCGAAGTGGAGTACATTTCGGCCGGTAGTTGTTGTGCTCAATTACTTTGGATAAAGGCAACTTTGAGTGACTTTGGAATCAAATTCAAATAAGTGCCATTGCTATGTGACAATGAAAGTGCCGTGAAGCTCACCAACAACCCGGTTCAATATTCAAGAACAAAGCACATAGATGTCTGCCATCATTTCATAAGAGATCACCAACAAAAAGGGGACATTTGCATAGAGAGTGTGGGCACCGATGATCAACTTACCGATATCTTTACCAAGCCACTTGATGAGAAGAGGTTTTGCAAGCTAAGGAATGAATTGAACATACTTGACTTCTCCAATATGTATTGATGCAGCCCCATTATATGACATGCCTCTCCTTTGAGCAAAGCAAGACAAAATTGATTGACATGTCATTCATCTATTTGCTAAGGACTTGTTTAGTGCATCTAGTCATTCCTCACATGTCTTAGGATCATTCATGGAAATCAAATGAATTTGATGCTTGTATGATACCACTATTGCTTGTATGCTTGAAATGATCTAGTGGTAGCATATGGCATGTTTGTGGGCTTGTGAACCTAGTGTTTGATCTAGAAAATAAGTTATAAGTGTTTAACTCAACATAGTGCATGATAATCCTTATTTGGAGGTGTGAAGAAGCTTGCCCTTGGATCAAACCGAGTTAAATATCTTTTGTAAATGATCTAGATTAAACCAAAACTAGGAAAATGATCCTCACTTCACATGGTTTCACCCCAACCTATCTAAAATTTAAGCTCATCTTTGTGCTAATTGTTAACAAAGGGGGAGAGAAATTCACAAAGATAATAAGAGATAGGGGGAGCAAACAAATGGAATGACATTGTAAGTGGATCATTTAAAATTTGAAGCAAACAAGTAGGGGGAGAAAGCTCATAAACTTGTATGTTGCATTTGAATGTGCATTACATATATTTGCTTGCATGGCATAAGTTCTTAAATTCCCTATCCATGCTTATGTGGTGTATGCTAGACCATAGAAAATGATTGATGAAATAAAAACTAGCATGCATAGGATAGCTAGATATACCTTGATCTTATACAAGTGGTACTAGAACCTTGCTTCTAATGTTGATCTCATGAGGTATCTAGTTTGTCTTTGCTTTTCAAGTGATATCTAAAAAATCATGGTGCTAAGGATGGTGTTCAAATGGCAACTCCGATTGGTATCACGCTTCAAAGGTCCATTCTTTACACCTTAGCATCATTTGATAGCTATTACTCTCAAACTTTCTATCCATGCATATGTGCAAGCTTTCAAATCCAAACTCTTAGCACATATGTAGGTGTTCTTAACTAGACAATTCGGTCATCTAGTGCCACTAGGTGTTGGAATTTATGCATTGCATTTAGGCCTAGTGCACGTCGGAGAGCAAGTGAAAACATTTATCAAAAATGTTATGAGAAATACTAACTTGGCTCTAACATGTTTTGAGAAAACACTTTGAGAGTTAACATCGCTTGCGAGGAGTAGCTCGAGTTGAGGTGGATCGAATAGGTAAAAAGTTTGCAACTCGGTGAGCTAGTGGAGGAGCCTGGGTAGCACCGCCACCCCTAGGGCGGTGCCCACTTGGGATCGGCAGAGAAGGGCCGAGAGCGGCCGGTTTGGGGTGGTCACCAGACACGCCGGTGTACACCTCCTCGGGTGCGGCGGTGCACCGCTTGGTCACCACCATTGGGTGCCCGGTGCCACCACCGTTTTCCTCCAGAGACGGGCGCAAGCGAGGGAGGTCACCGCCAAGGTGATGGCGGTGCACCGCCCTATTTTTCTAGATATGGCCGGTTTTGAGAACTTGGCTGGGATGGTCACCGCCACCCCTAGAGCGGTGCCACTGCCATGCCATGTCCGGCGACCAACAGAAAGTGACCGTTGGGGCACCACCACCTAGGGGCGGTGTGCCACCGCCGTGTTCGGTGCCCCCACGTAGACAACTCCAAGGGGTATAACGGCTCTATTTGCTTGTGTGGCTATAAATAGAGGGTGTGGCCGGCCTTGGCCACCCTCTTAGCACCTCTTACACTTGTGCACGCCCTTTAGAAGTTGAGCAACACACTCCACTCACTTGTTCACTTGATTTCGTCATCTTGAGTGAGATTGGAGAGTCTCTAGTGCATTACATTGAGTTGCATCATCTTGTGGCACTAGTTGGGTGATTTGGGCTGGTTGTGAGCTTGTTACTCTTGGTGTTTGCTGACACCTAGACGGCCCGGTGATTGTAGGATCGTTGAGCGGAGTTGGTGATTATCGGTTGCTTGTGAGGGGTCTTGTGCCTTCCCTGGCAGAGTGCCAAAGGCAACTCTAGTACATTGCTCATGTCATTGAGCTACCTCACTTGTGGGTAGGTTCTTGCGGTGTCCAATTGTGTGGACGAGGTTCGTGCAACACCTCTTAGCCGCCGAACCACCAAGTGTTGGTCGACACAACAGGGACTAGCGTGCCGGCAAGCACGTGAACCTCGAGAGAAAAATCTTGTGTCACTTGTGATTGGATTTCTCTCGATGATTGGTTGTCTCCACATTGTGATTGGTTCATTCCTCGACGTGGCGGTATAATCACCATACTCACTCCTTTACATTCTTTGCAAACTAGTTATCAAGCTCTTTATTGTAGTTAGTCTTTGAGAGCTTGTTAGTTTGGTTAGCGTGGCTCTTTAGTTAGTCTTTGAAAGCACACTAGCTTAGTGAGTAGTGACCAAGCTTGTTGTGTGTGCTAGTGATCATAGCAACTAGAATTATTGGAATAGGTGGCTTGCGACCCTTGTAGAGCTAGAGCAAAATTGCATTACGTCGTTTGTCATACTAATCAATTGCTCTAGTGTCTTAAAGAGTTTTTAAATAGGCTATTCACCCCTCCTCTAGCCATATTAGGACCTTTCACCCGTGCCACGGTGTAGGGCTCCCAGCCTTTGTCCGGCTTGTGGCCGAGGGCTACTGACCGCCTCGCCGCGCCAGTGAGAGCCGCTAGCAGGCGCGAGGGCCTCCCACCGTCGTAGGAGAGGGAGAGAGAGGGCAGAGAGAGGAGAGGTGGGGTGGTGCTGTGGTTGGTGAGGGAGAGCCGAGAGAGAGGAGAAGAGAGGAGGGTGGGGCGCTAGTGGGAGAGAGGGGGCGTGGGGAGGGAGAGCGGTGGAGGGCAGCGCTCGTGTCTGGGAGGGAGAGGCGCCCTGCCTCGATGGGTCGGGAGAGAGGAGGAGGGCGCCTGGGAGGTGGGAGGTGAGGCTAGGGTTAAGTGTCGCTATATATGAGGCGGTCGAAAGGCGGAGATGGGCTTTTTTCCGGTGGGAGCCGAGCCACTATTTTGGAGGTGGGCTTTATAGTGTGCCCGCCCAAAAATCGATTTATGGAGGCGGGCAACTTAAGAGGCGACCGCCTATTTTTAGAGGCGATCGTCTTAAGTTGCCCGCCTCCGTAAATTGATTTTATGAGGCGGGCAAAAGTGCCTGCCTCGGTAAATAAAAAGTGCCCGCCTCTATTAATCGTACGCATTAACCGATGTGGTTAGATTTTGTGACCGCCTCCGTTAATAAAAGGGCACCATCTTGCAAAATCATTTGTGTAGTAGTGACAATCTATTTGAAATGCTGGATTTTTTTGTATGTTCCCATTTTTTCCTATGAAATTGAATTGATTGTGAAGTTCTTATGTTCCAATCGGTTTGAAACGTTATCAAACTTCTATTGAGCATGGGCTAAGACTCATGGTGCGCAATCCCGAGGACTGTCTTGTCATGAGGGGGGTGAGTAACAACTCATTTGCAATTTTGTAAGAGAGGTTAGACGGACCCACCTTTGTTCCTTGTAGCTAAACAGCGGCCGGGTAGTACCGTAGCAGCAATAGCAGATGGTTTTTTTTTAGAACTACCACGCTTGCAACGCGCGCATGCTCGCTCCTACGAACACATGCACGTAGATCTTACCCTACGAGCCTGGCATCATATAACATCACATAAATTGGGCTGTGTTTACCGGTTGGGAACCCTAGATCGACCTTTGTTTTTTTAGCAAAGGAATCGTAGATCGACCTGAAAGCCTTGCAGCATATAATATAACATCACATAAATTGGGCTTTATTTAGCAAGGCTTTGATATGGCCTTAATTTGAAGCAGACTGGATTAGGCCCAGTTACGTTAGCCCATGGCCATCGTGAAAATCACAAATTGAAAAGGTGGGGTGGGTGTGTAACACGGCATCAGAAGGGGATAGCATCGTCATCGCAAAATGCAGGCGCTCCTACTCCCCGCGCGGGCCGCGCCGCCGCCGCCGCCGCTGGCGATGCTTCGGCAGCGTGCGGTTTCCGCGTCCGCGTGTGCGTCGCAGGTCTGCCGCACCCTACTCAGTGCCTGCGGTTGCTTCAGCTGTGGGGTCCACGGAAGCGCTCGGCGGCACCTCACAGTGGCGGTGGCGGCGGCCCCGTCCTCGTCCTCGCCCTCGCCCTCGTCGGGACCGCTCTACCCGACGCCTCCACCCACCGAGCAGGAGGTGGAGCGGGTCAAGCTCGAGCAGGTGCCTTGCTAGTTCCTTTTCTTCCTTTGGTCTATTGGTTCGAAGCCCCTGGCCGTGCTCTGTGGGTGGAGTAGGGTTTATGTGATAGTTTGAGTGAGGAATTTCGTGATCTGGTGCTCTCTGGCAACCTTGGTAAGTTTTTTGAGGCTCCTTCCATCAAGAAATGTTGTTAGCTGTGGACTATGCAGATGGTTTCTTGTTTGAGGAAATGTACTTGGGCAGGATTGGTTTTGCGGCACTGGGTGAGATGTGTGTTATGTCGCTTATTAGGAATTGTTACAGCCTAGGGAGAAGGAACGCAAACAAATTTGTGGGGAGCTAGTTAAGGGTAGATCTTTGTTCGTAGTTGATCATTCTTCATTCCCCACTGTAGCATCAGCTTGTTGTCAGATAGTTGATAGGCATGATTACTCTTGTTCATCAGTGATTTTGAAAGTGTGCATTAATTTCTGACTGACATTTTCGTTAAGCATCTATTGCTTTCCAATTTTAAAAGCAATCAACGAAGGCATGCTTGCAGTTTAGTTCCATGTGCTTATTAGGATTTCTTAGTTCATGCCTAGGCACTTAGGTTTCTTATTAGTACAAGAGACATGAAAAAAAATAGTGTTAACTCATATGCCATTTAATCGAGGTATACAAATTATGGAAGTTCTAGTACAATGAGCTGGTTAATCTCCACTCTTTCGCCCTGTTCGTTTGGGCTTGTTTGGCTGATAAGCCATGGCTGAAAGTACTGTTGGCTGGTTTGGTGTGAGAGAAAAATACTATTCGTTGGCTGATAAGCTATGGCTTATAAGCCAAATACGACCAAGCGAACAGGCTGCTTATTCACATGTGTCATTGTTAAACCGATTATGTGTTTCTTGCTCGTCTCTAAATGGCCTCTCACATGTACAGTGATTCTGAAATAACGTTTTTTCTCTATTTATTTTGTATTGGCTAATTGGACAGGTTATGAAGAGACTAGAGAAAACAGCAAGGTATTTCAAGAATTTGGGTACCTTTGGGTTCTGGTCCCAGTTGGTGTGCACAATTGTTTCTGCTGGAATTTTGGCATTCTCTACAGTTGTAACGGGGAAGGTGACAGCACCCTTTACATTCTATGCAACTGCTGCTGGTATTGTTGCTGCTTTTATCTCAGTCTTCTGGTCATTTGGTTACATCCGTCTCTCTGAAAGGCTTAGAAGAACATCAAAAGAACCTGCTAAGGTACCCCCTTTTCTGAACTATGCACTGATTTTACATTGTTAGCCATAATAACAGAACTATTCACATGAAAGAAGTTTTTCCAAAAAGTCTTCGTAGACCTCTTTCCAGTGAAAAATCTTTGTACCTCTTTCCCACTGGCTTTGGCTCATCTTTTTTTACCTGCCTACTGCCATTCCTTGTGCTACCAAGCTGGTTTAGACCATGATATTTACTCCCTTTGTTCCAAATTATAAAACGTTTTTGGCTTTTCTAGATACATTGGTTTTACTATGCATCTAGACATAGTGTATATCTAAGTGTATAGCAAAAGTTATGAATCTAGAAAAGCCAAAACATCTTATAATTTGGAATGGAGGGAGTATCAATTATCATAGACAACTTCTAGCTGCTTTTCGACATAATGTATTATATAGTTAACTTTGTTTGGCAAGCTTGGTTAAGTTAGAAATGAAACTGTTTTTTGCATAATTTCATTAAGAGACATATGAAACTATTAATTAATTGCTTTTCAGGCTCCTCCACGCGCTGATGTTGTTAAGAGCCTGAAAAATGGCATTGTTCTTAATATTCTTGGGATGGCGCCGCTGTTCTCGGCATGCAAGCTACTGTCGGTGCTTTGGTAGCAAAAGCTCTCACAACCTCTGCAGTACCCTATTATGCTGCTGCTCCTGGCCAAAGCCCTGTCTTGGCTTTAGATGTTTTCCTAGTTCAGGTACTCGATTGTTTACTCCTATTACTAGTATTTGGCATGAATCATTCTCTCATCAAAGTTTGCACATGTAACCAGTCAAACAGTGTCATTCTTTAGTTTTCAGCATTACCTTAATCAGCTCTTTTTTGGATAAAGTACCTTAATCAGCCTTGACCATGGTTTTGGAGTATTGCACTTAACTTCATTGTTTCCTGAAAATAGTCCATCTATAGAGTTTGCTAAATTTGCTTAGTGAAATCACATGTCTAATAAAAAGTATTTTGTCACTTTCTTGAGATCATTTTTGTCCTGGTAGATTCTTGTAGTAGTAGTAGAACAACTCGACATAGCACTGTAGGAGTACATTGGGAAGGCGCCATCACATCTAGGAATAACATCAAAATCAATGCAGCCTGCGACCTGACAATGCAAATAATTGTAGGGCTCCAGATTAGAATCCTGCAGTCTGCAGACATTTGCTACTACTCAAGATCATTAATCATAGTAGTAGAACATTGGAGGGGACAGAGTTGCAGTTGAAGTTGTGTTCTTTTGTGCTGATCATCGTAGTCTGTTACTAGTATTAAAGAGTCTTTAATTTATCATCAACGTACACTATTATACTACTTACTAATCTTTGTTAACCCTCATGTTTGAGTGAGCAGGCTTCAGCGAACACCATCCTGTCGCATTTCCTTGGGCTGGCGAGCACCCTGGAGCTGCTGCGCTCGGTGTCACTGCCTCCAGCGGAAGCTGCCCCTGCCTCTACCCCGGCCCCTGCACGGGCCTGAGCGATCCTGATCCATGGGCAGGTCAAGAAAGACCCTTCATCCCTTCGGCTCTACTAGACACTTGCTGTTCTTGATTGTATGTAGTACAACTTGCATCAAGCTTTGCATACACATCGATGCCTTCCAGTTCGGCTGGAGACAACATGTTGGCGTAATCCCCGCCGAGTGTGAGCTCTTGCATGAGCACTTGCGAATCACATGTATGTGGCGCATGTTTGCTGGTGCTGTACAAGTGAGTGTAAGTGACTACTGGCTCGCTCGTTCCTAATCATTGTACCTTGCTTCTTCGCTGGTTTCAACTCTCTCATGTCTCAGCACAGCAGTGAGCAGTAGCACGGCGCGACGACGTCCGGGGTCCGAACAGTTTTTCTGGTGGGCCTGGAGGATGACGAGCTCCACTGGGCATCGGCAGCTGGCCTGCCCCACCGTCGCTCCGGCGCGCACGGAGCGCCGCTCGTTACAGCCTCCGTGCCACTGCCGCTGCCCGTGCCGGCAGCCCGGCACGAGACGAGAGGCGGTTACTGCCAGCCAGCGCATGATGCACGCACATCCCATCCCATCTCGTCCTGGCGACCTGGCCAGCGGCCCCCCCGCGTTCACCCCCGCTTGTCTGCTTGCGGGGCGCTGGAATCCGCGACCGCGAGCCCGCGTGCGACCAGCCACGCACGCACGCGCAACACATTGACTCCGTTCGCGTGTCCTTAAACCCAACTTGATCTGCTTATTTTATCATCCAGAACAGTGTTTTTTTCTCACAAATTTCTTCAGCATACCTCCAGAATCCAGACAAGCGAACAGTGTTCACCGCCGAGCTGCCTGCGTGTGCGGTGTGCCGGTGGCTCGCCCTTATCCTGATCCCCGTCTCGTCGTCGCCACCCACCGGACAGCCGTACGTATTCACTTCACTGCCTCGCGCGGCTTTTAGTGACAGTGTCAGACCGGGGCGCTGGTGATCACGGATCAGCTGGCTCGCGGATCCCATCCACACGCGGCGGAACCACCAACCGCCGCGGAGCCGAGCAACGCTGCCTGACCCTGGTGGACGCGACGCGACACGACACCGACACGAGACGGACCCAGAGCACCAGACGGGGCCTGAAATATCCCGAATCCCAGACGACGGACGGCGGTTGGGGCTGTGGGGATCGCGCCCGTCCGTCGGGTACGTACGTGGTGCTGGTACGGGCGCCTCCGTACACGCCCCGCCGGTCTCGGTCTCGGCCAGGCCTGGACCGCGCGCGCATAAACAAAGCCGCACCGGCCGTTTGGTGCGCAGGCAAGGATTCCCCGCCGTGCGCCGGGTGCGCGGCAGCCGGCAGCAGCGGCGTGGAGTGAATCTTGGACCTCTCATCTCCTCCTCTTTTGCCAGCCCGGCGATAAACAGCAACAGCGATTGGGCCGGTGGGCCCCCACCTAGGCAGGCCAGAGATCGGGAGGGAAGGAAGTTACAAGGAAGCTGCGCGCGTAACTGAAAAGGGTGGGGAGGTTGGTTCGGTTGGTCTGGTCCGGTGGTCGCCGTGGAGGTGGATGGATCTGCCTGCCTCCCCCTCTATTCTATTGCTGTTGTGTGCAACTGCAACTTCGCAACGGGATCTCTCGGCCGCACCCGCACCGCATCGTCCGCAGCATGGTACAGTCAGTACAGTACCCGCCGGTGTCGGTGCGGTGGGAGGCCGTTAAAGCCGCGCCAGCCAGGCTGGCCCTGCGCGGCTGCGCCTCCCCAGATCCACAATCCACATCCACCACGTCCCCCCCTCTCTCTCTCTCTCTGATGCCGATCAGCCGATGCGATGCGCAGATGCGGCCTGCCTGCCTGCCGCCGCCTCTGACTTCTTTCCGCTGCCCTTGTACCCTCCTGCCCTGCTTTCACTGAGGCGTTCGAGGGCCGTCGTCGTCGTCTTGCGCGAGCGCGACGAGCTGGGGCCGGCCGTACGCGACACGATACGTGGAACCGTCTCGCGTATCCACCGGGGTATAGGGCCAAGGGCCTCGACACGACAGCGTGTGGGTTTCACTGCGTTGGCGTGCGTTGGGTTCCAATCTGGAAGCGACGGATCGATCGGCCGATCCGTTTTGCTTCGCTGTGCCGCGGCGCTGCTGCTCCCCGTGGAGGTGGTTGCTTCCTGCAGATCATGGGGGGTGGGACTGGGAGTCAATGCTCTGTACGGCGCATGCCGCCCCATCACCTATCGGTCTCCGCTGCCTACCTCCTCCCGTCTACCCGAACGGTTGCACCTAGGCGGTTACAGTAACCACTAGTAGCTTCACCGATGCGCCCGTAACCCAGTCATCTTGGCTTTTGAAAAATGGTAGGGTAGCACTTTCGTTATTATTTGGTAATTAGTATATAATTATAGTCTAATTAGACTTAAAAGATTCGTGTCGTGAATTTCATATAAACTGTGTAATTAGTTTTATTTTTTATTTATATTTAATGCTTCATGCATGCGTCTAAAGATTCGATGTGACAAAAAATCTTGAAAAATTTTACAAAATTTTAGAAACTAAACAGGCACCGGAACACACCAAGTTACTCTAGTACCTGCACTGCACTAATCAAAGCCCAGGCACATGGAAGCACTGTAGCCATGCGTAAACATGGTTACATGGCCAAAGCGCAGTAACAGTAACAGTTACTACCTACGTCGCCCTCACCGCGATGGATCCAACAGCCGGTCCGGTCAGGCCCGGTAATAACCGGCCACGTTTTTTTATTCTTCATTCATTCACCAGCAGTGTCAGTGGGCAGTGGCAGTGCCAGCTCGTCCCGGCCGTACGGGTATACGACCCACCCACCCGTGGCGCGTCAGAGCACACGCACACGCACACACGGAGAGACGCCAGGCCGCGGGAGCTGAGCTGTGCCCATAACTGCCATGCCTGATGCCTTCCCTCCCTCCACGAAATCGCGCCGGTTTTTATTGCCCCGCGCGCCCCACCCCCCGAGAGATTGCGCTCCAGCCTGGCCATTGGGCCCCACCACCCGCAAACCGCCGCGCCCTCCCCCTGTCGCCTTCCTCACCCTGTCTGCCCACCGCGCGCCTCCCTCGCTGCCCTGCGGGACCGGGCATCGCGTCACCCCAGCTGTCAGCGGCGGAGCCGGTCCCGTCGGCGTGGTCGCTGGAGCCCTCCAAACCGTCGCGCACGCACAGCGGTCGTACTGTCCGGCTAGTACACATGTACGGGCGCGCGGGCGGGAGCTTTTGGGGTGGAGGGGGAGGGTGGACGGGGACGGGCGCGACACGGGCCGAATTTTTTATTTTTAGCTTTTTTTTTAAAAAAAATTCATAAATATGTCTTTGATGTAAGATTTTAAAATCTGGACTCTTAGTTCGGCGCTATCGTTGCTGGCGCCGAGCTTACGCTGCTCGGCACCATCATTGCTGGCATCGAGGTCTTGGGCTCGACGCAGACGTGGCGGTGACTTGACAGGTAACTCGGCGCCATAGACCCTGACGCCAAACTTGGCGCCGTAGATCCTGACGCCGAGCTCGCCGCCGTAGATCGTGGCGCCGAGTTTGGCGCCAGGATCTATGGCAGCGAGGTGGTGTTTTAACCCTGGCCCTAACCTTCCTGCCCGAGCTTTCTTCCTCTTCTTTCTCCTCCCTCTCGGGTTTTCTCTTTCTCCACTTCGCCATACCTCACGAATCGACATATTGGACCTTGGAAACTTTGATTTGACCCGTAGATCTTCAAGAGCAATGTATCCTCGCTTCCCTTCTAATTTTTTTCGCATCGATTCGGTATATATTAGTCGAATTTTTCAACCTAAGAATCGTCATTACTTAGGGTTTCATGTAATTTTTAATATTTGTATTATACAACCATAGGATGATGCCAAGGCGTGGAAAAGCTAGCAAACCTAGACAACCGCAGCGTATGTTGTTATGTTATGGATTCATTGTTGTGCATTAAATGGGAAACCCTAGGTTTAGGGTTTAATGTTAATTGCTTTCGGTTTTTAGAACGAAATTGGTTGTACTGCAGTTATGTTTCTCATTGACATTAATTTGTGATGTTTTGATTTTTGTTTGTTAAACTATAACCGTTTTGTTAGATGCAAGAAATATATCGGGAGAAGTTTTGACAAAAACAGGGTCGTCCTCAAGAATTATACCCCGACACGTCAAGCAAAGTTGCCCTCATCCCTCCTGACCTCCCTGTCTCTAATTGTGACTGTGGTTTCCCGGCCCACGTGTTTCAATCGAGACATCCAGACACAGCGTCGCGTTGCTTCTACACATGCAGTCGTTTTAATGTAAGTAATTATTTTCACTATCTTTTTTCTTTATTTGTGTAAGTATACTACTAATATTTTATTAGAATCTTGTTGGGTAGGACCATGAGAGGTGCCTTTTCTTTCAGTGGATCGACGGTGCAGACAAGTTTGACCCTAGATATCTCATTTTTGACGATTGGTGTAGAAGGAGACATCCACGTGAGCACTTCAAGCGGTGGATTCGAACCCCCCTAACCCCTCGCCAATTACGGCTAAAGAGAAGCACTTGCCCGTAGTTAGACGACTCGAGGAGGTCCTCTGTGCGAATATGGAGATCAAGCTGTGTCCGAACCATACGAACCTTCCGAGTTGAAAAAAAGGTTCTTCGAACGTTCTGCAGACGAAAATTACTGTCGCCCAGTGCAACGAAAGAACTCTATTGGGTTAGCAACATGGACTGTTTCACCTTCGAAATGTAAATACTAGGATTTGTTCGTCCCTTTGTTAGTTTGGTTAAATTGAACCTCCAAAATCGTATTTGTTTGGACGCTTGCGTACAAGCCGGATCTACACAAGATCTTTGAAATTCGTATTTGTTTCAGCCCCATTTTCGTTGGTCAGTTTTAACGTTCTCCTCCCGGGGGTTTGACGGTACGGAACCACGGAAACAAACCAACAATTCAAAATTCAAACCGTCCGGGGACCCCATGATTACCAGCCAAACGGCCTCGGTCCCGCCGCTTCTCACCCGTCGTCCCCCGCGGTCCTACCGCCACGTGGGGCCCAGACGTTCCGGACCCCACCTGCCATCGAGACGTCCGGAAACTACGCGAGCCCCGAGCATGAGGTGGCACCTCGCCAGCTGTACCCCGGTGACGAGCCACCGGCCGCTCCCGGTCACCCTCCCCTGTCTCTCCGGGCTATATAACGCCCTGCCTCGCCTCCCCCCTTCCTCCAGCCACCGATCGAGACGTCCCAATCGAGCCGAGCCAATCTCATCTCACACCGCCATTGCCATTGCCATTGCCAGCGGCAGCACCGCAGCAGGCTAATCCATCTGTGCCGTGTGTGTGACCAGCACAGCAGCGATGGGAGTGGAGTCGTCGGAGTGCGACAGGATAAAGGGGCCGTGGAGCCCCGAGGAGGACGAGGCGCTGCGGCGGCTCGTGGAGCGCCACGGCGCGCGGAACTGGACGGCGATCGGGCGCGGCATCCCGGGGCGGTCGGGGAAGTCGTGCCGGCTCCGGTGGTGCAACCAGCTGTCGCCGCAGGTGGAGCGCCGCCCCTTCACGCCCGAGGAGGACGCCGCGATCCTGGCCGCGCACGCGCGCCTCGGCAACCGCTGGGCCTCCATCGCGCGCCTGCTCCCCGGCCGCACCGACAACGCCGTCAAGAACCACTGGAACTCGTCGCTCAAGCGGAAGCTGGCCACCGCCACCTCCAGCGGCGGGGCGGATGCCGGAGACGCCGAGCGGTCGTGCAAGCGCGCGAGCCCTGGCCCGGGGAGCCCGACGGCGTCGGATCGCAGCGACCTCAGCCACGGCTGCAGCGGCGGCCCCGTGGCGCAGGTGTTCCGCCCGTCGTCCGCGCGCCGGCGGGTTCGACGCCATCAGCTGCGCCGCCGACGTGCGCCCTCCTCCACCGCCACCGCCAGCAGCAGCAGACGAGGACCCGCTCACCTCGCTCTCGCTCTCGCTGCCGGGGCTGGACTTCCAGCAGGCGTCGTCGGGGTTCCACCACGACAGCGCGCGGAGCCACTTCCAGGAGCTCTCTCTCCCGTCGCCGCAGTCTCCTCCACCCGCCGCCCTTCCTTCGCCGCAGGCGGCGGCGGCTCCGTCTCAGTCGTCGTCGTACCCGTTCAGCGGCGAGCTTGTGGCCGCGATGCAGGAGATGATCCGAGCCGAGGTGCGCAAGTACATGTCCGGCGCGGGCCTCCGCGCGCCGGTTGCGGCCCCGGCGCCGTCGGCGAGGCGTGCATGCCGCAGCTGGTGGAGGGCGTCATGCGCGCCGCCGCGGAGCGCGTCGGCGTCGTCACACGGCCGTAGAAGAAAACCCCCAAACCAAACCAAATCAGATCGAATCAATGCGAAGCATTGTGTTAATTAAGGAGATCCCGTCCCGTCCTGTGTAGCAGCACTACGTAGACTACTACTGCTGCTAGTCGTACTTGTATTTAGGAGAGGAGCTCGCGTTGTTTATTCGTCGGCGGCTGCCGCTCTGAATTCAGAAAGAAACAGAGCGGCGGCGGTGAAAGCCGGAAGCGGAAGCGGAGGTTGGCAAATAATCATCGAGCCTGCCATTTCTATACTCGGATGTGTTGCCGCGGCTTGCTCAGAAAGGGGATGTGATTGCGCTGATCCGCCGCCGATGGCATTATGCGCCCTGAAACCGAAACCCACGCTTGGTTGTGGGTGTGGCAGATCTGCTCCGATTTGGAACGTCTCTTCCGCTGTTCCAGTTTCCACTTTGCTGTACTACGAGTCACGAGCGCGAGCGCAGAGCACAACCCAACAAAATGGCGGATCAGATGAGAGCCGGGATACAGAACGGCAGCTCCGCGTCCTTCACATCAGCAGCTCTGAATCCTCAAAGCGGCTTTCATTGATCTATTGGACCATGCGATGATTGAACTGATTTGTATGCAACTTCGATAAAGCCCTTGTTTAGTCATAGGAATTTGGATTTTGGGGCTACTGTAGTATGTTTGTTTTTATTTGACAAATAGTGTTCAAACATGTACTACCAGCCAAAACGTTCGCCTCGTAATTTCCCATCAAACCGCTGTAATTAGTTTATCTTTTCGCTCTACATTTAACGCTTTATGCACGGGCCGTAAATATTCGATGACAGCGATCTTGAAGAACTTTTTTGAAAGTTGGAAATTGAACTAAACACGCCGAAAAAAATCGATAAATTATTGCGTTCCAAACAGGCAAAACGTGTGGTTGTGAGCGGTGGCATCGTGTACTGCTAGTGCTAGAGCTACAAGCCGTTGAACCGAGTGTGTACTAGAGGTCATCAGCAGAGTTGAGTTATGAACTGGCTTACAATCAAGTGAGTGCAGGACGGGGGCAGTGACAGTGAGTGATCGATCACTGGTAGCAACAGCCAACAAACACGAGACGGCGCCAGCAAATGTGAAAGGCAACAAGGACAGAGGACGCGGACGGACGCCAGCGGTGGCAGCCAGCTGTTCTGGGCCGGCCTGGGCACCTTAACACCCTTGCGCAGAACAGTCAAGATGGAGCGGCCTGACTTTGCAAAGGATGGGTGGCGCGCGCATGCACTGTGCATGCCCACGGCCACGAGCGACGAGCGACCGGCTGCAAAGCGCTCTGCACAACCAGGGCAGGGGGCACGGGCGCACGGCGGCGGTGACCGGTGAGCCGATGGCACGATGAGCCTTTTCGCCAATCTGTCTCTCTAACGGAGGCAGGACCGAGTTGGAACATGGGCCTGACTTTGATTACACTGGGCTTCGAAACTCTGGGACCAAACTTTTGTTCGAGCCTGGTAACCGAGGCCCAGTACGGAGTGTCGGAATCGTGCACTAAGGTGGTAGTAGTAGTAGGCCTGGTCTACTTCCATCGGCGGTCCAGCCCAGTGTAGGAGATGCAGCAACACTTGGGCAAACGCCTGAAAAAGGTTAGCACAAACACGCAGCACCAGAAACACTTGGGCAAACTGCAAATCCAGAATGCTGGTGACACCACACCACATCCTGGTATAATACGTACAAAACATAGTTATTCAGTCTGATGACATTTAAACAGAGCATCCATCGACTCATCTGAAAGCCCAGAACAGAACGGCGAAGAACGCGACAAGCCCACAACTACTAAAGGAAGCAGAAGCGCACGCAGCCTCGATACGAACGAACGTTGCCCTGCACGCGGGGCACACAGCCTCACGGCTCGACGACGCGGCGCCGTCAGTTGCTCGGCGCATCGGCCGCCGCCTCCTCGACGTTGCTGCCGGCGACGTCGACGACGAAGCGGTAGCGGACGTCGTTGCGCTCCAGCCGCTCCAGCGCCTCGTTCACGTACCCCATCTTGACCACCTCGATCTGGGAGGTGAGCCCCTTGTCGACGCAGAACTGGAGCACCTCGGCGGTCTCGTCGATGCTGCCGATGAAGCTCCCCGTGATGGCCTTCCTCCCCAGCATCACCATGGGCGACACGAAGCTGAGGGGCTCGCCGATGACGCCCAGCAGGACGTGCTTGCCGTCCAGCTTCAGCAGCGCCAGGTAGGGTTCTAGCGGGTGGTGCACGGGCACCGTGTCGATGATGTAGTCCAGCGAGTCGGCGGCCGCCGCCATGGCCGCCGCGTCCGAGCTCACCAGGTACGCGTCCGCGCCCAGGTGGTCCATCGCCTCCGCGCGCTTCTTGGACGACGAGCTGATCACCGTCACGTGGTGGCCCATGGCCTTCGCCACCTTCACGCCCATGTGGCCCACGCCGCCCAGGCCCAGGATGCCGCCACGGAGGCCTGGGGTCGTCAGCCCAAAGGCCTTCAGCGGGCTGTACACCGTCACGCCCGCGCACAGCAGCGGCGCCGCTTGCTCCGGCGCCAGACCCGCCGGGATCTTCACCAAAAACCTGGTAGAAAATGCATTAGTTATCAACTGTAAAAAAATTCTGAACTCTATAGCCATTTGCGATCGTTAACAAGAAATGTTAAAAATGAGATCAACCTAGGAGAAACTATGCTAGGTGGTTATTTTTTTAATAATAAGAATAAAATAGGAACCTAAATTTGAGTTACCGAGGCTGCCATTTTTTTTTTGGTTGCAGATTTGACTAGCACCAAAGGAAATTGCTTGAAGAGTTACTGTTCTACCAGAATCACACATATATCCCATTTGTTTTTAAAAAAAACAAGCAATCGCTATCTCAAAGAGTTGTTGGATTAGGTAGTGCGATTTGCCCACTGACTGAACGACAGTACACTAAAGTCGTAGGCAAGTTTGGGATCAAACGATGGAGAAAGTTATCCCCATTTCTCCCAACAACCAGTGATGGTTTGGATGACCAATCTTCAGACATGAGTAGGTGAGGATTCGGCTTCTGTGGTGATGGTTCGACTTGACAAAGATGAGCCAGTAAAGCACACCGCATCGTACTTTTGACATCACACTCTTGCCTGGTCACCACAAGGCGTCCATACCCCGACTTGCAGCTAGATGATGATGGACTTGTCAATGATAAATTTTCCCCATACCCATATACTCCCCCTCCACCTTTTTCTAGAAGGATTGGACATCACCATCCACTTCACAAAAGTTCAAACTGAAGCTCAACTATTTCTTGCTTTGTTCAGACCAACCTTGTTTTTTTTAAAAAACAAGAAAATTGTCTCTAGAACACTGCAGGTAAGATAATGCTGAATTTGGTGTTTCAAGAACTCACTTCTGGTCGACGATCATGGTGGAGGCGAAGCCGCCCTGCGTGGGCCGGCCGTCAGTGTAGACGTCGTTGTAGGACCAGATCTTCTTGTTGCAGTACTGCTCAACGTTGGCCTTGCAGGGGCTGCACTCGCGGCAGCACCCGACGATCACCCCGACGCCTACCACGTCGCCGACGCCGTACTTGGTCACCTCGGGCCCGACCTCCACCACCTCACCGACCACCTCGTGCCTGCAAAAGTTTCAGACGACATTAGCAGACCAACCCATGAAATGATAGCTAGTGTGGATTTCTCGCAACATTATCAGCTCGCAGTCGTGGAGTGGTTGTGCTGTCAGGAAAAGTTTATGTTTATTCTTTTTCCCTTGCAAACATGTCAGAAGAAAAGTATATAGGCCGGTCGGTGGAGTTTGCTTTACTAGTCATTTCTGCAGCTCTTTAGCTATCATGAAAAGAACATCATGATTATTTGAGCCTGTAGAAATTAGAGAACAAACTCGATCTTGTGCTTCAAATAATCTCGTAAACTGATGAATGACAGTAATTGGCAACCAACTACGTGAACAAAGAGTATTAGTGTGGTATGTGCCACCTGTAAACCTGAGAATAGCTCTGGACTGAGATGCTGACGTTTGTGGTTATTACCAAATGTGCACTCCTATATCTACCAATCTATGCAGGTCAATCAGATAGACATACCTAAATTTGTCTGCATGTGTAATTTCCTCGTGAAAATGCTGAAACCGCATGTCACTATATATATTTCTGTCCTACTCCTTTATACTTTTCAGACAATTTGAATAATAGAATACTGAAAAAATCATTTTATCGTGAACCATATACGTACGGAGTATATATTACTAGATCCCAAGCTGCTGAAAAATAAAATCGCTAGGGGATGCATGTGTTTGTGCTCACCCAGGGACCATGGGGTACTTCGAAGCCCCGAGGTGGTTCTTGGCCTGGTGGATGTCCGTGTGGCAGATCCCACAGTAGAGCACCTTCACCGCCACATCTTCAGGGCCTGTGCTCCTGTTGTTGTTGTTGTCACCACAACACATTCCCATAAGAGAAGAGACCAGTGTTAGTTTATTCTTGCAGAAGACCAGCAGCATATATATATAGAATTATGCAAGAACTAACCGCCACAGTGAGATAGGAGTATCATAGTACTGGTAGTTGATGACATGAGAAAGCACTACTAGAGTCTTCTCGAAGCAATAATAAAAGTATACGCAGGCGATGGATGCTTTCAAATTATTGCACCACAGAACCTAGTGACGGCTGGTATTAAGAACTGTTCGGCTAGTATTAAAGCTGGCTGAAGCTGATTTATTGTAAGAGAAAAATACTGTAAATTCTAGCGGATAAGCTGGCTGTTAAGTTCAAACGAACATGCTGTTCGCCGACAGTAGTGGAGTACTTAATAAACCGAAAGCCAAGGGTTTATGCATGTATTGCTGTTCAATTTATCCTCCAGCCTGATCGGAATAATCAATAATGTCACTTATATGAGTAAACAAACCCTTGGCTGTTCAATTTCCTCCAGCCTGATCGGAATAGTGTCACTTGTAATCACTTATAATAAAAAAATGGATGGATGGTGTGTGCCAATGGTTGCAACAGCTACCAGTTGGTAGGTAGCTGTAGGTATCACCGTATTAGGTCTGGTGTTGCAACAGCTACCAGCTACCTGCCAGTACGACAAGTCCACAACACGTTGGCTACTGGGTCCGGCTGTACGAAACGTTGTCAAACTCACGTGCAGTGCAGTGCAGGGTCCAAATATTAATGGTTCGAAACAAAATACTACTCCTACAGTATATCCTCAACAGTAGTTGAGGAGAAGCGTGCGTGGGTGTACGCTCGTTCAAACCTGCTTGGCAATTGGCATGCATGTGCACTAGCTAGAGTTGTCCTGGACTAGGAGTTGAAGACGTCCAGCCTGTTCGTTTGCTTGTAAACGATCATAAATTTTCAACTGACAATAATGTTTTTCTCTCATACCAGACTCTCAGCAGTAAATAATCCACGATACGATATGGTCTCCCGAACGGGCTGGTAGTATCTCATATGCATGCTGCCGCGCATGCGCTTGTTGTGGTCTTGTGGAGTACTCCTACTAAGCTGTACTACTAGGATACTCTGCGTGAGCAAAAGGACACGACGACAGAAACATAACATAGGGAACATGATTGCTAGCTTACAGCAATCAACAGAATTAATACTCCGTAAATGATAACCGTAATAGCGTATCAGTTATATATGGATCAGAATATGCATCAGCATGCTTCATTCCCAAATTAAAACCTGGCATGCCGGCGCTTACATAGATAGTTCGTTGCACTGGATCGAAAATAAATATATCCAGTTTTTTTTAATCATCATCACAATCATCACTCAGATTTTTCTGTTCTTCCTTAATTATCTATCTCGGAGAATCACTGAAGGCGCCGCACAAGCCAAACCGTCCCTCATCCTGGACCTATTTTCGTGTTTGCACAAGGGACGGGAGACACCGTCGGACGGACATGAAGGGGAGGGACTAGGGGTTGGAGGGTGAGAAGACGAACACGAGCGATCTAGAGACGTTGGCGGCGGCGGCGGCGGCGGCGTACGTACCTGAGGGTGTAGGAGTAGGGGGAGAGGTGTCCGGTGGCGTCCCTGGCGGCCCACCCGACCACCTTCCTCTCGGACGCCAGGCTCCCCATTCTCTTCCTGGGAGTCGGGACCGACCGCGATCGACACCGCTACGGGCGGCGGGGACGACGACTGACGGAGCGGGAGGCGGAGGCCTGGAGGGGGTGGGCGATGGAGACGAGCGAGCCGGCCGGGTGGGTTTAGCCTTCGGAAAGAAAGCAAGCAGCGCGACAACTAGTGAGCCGGTCTTTTGGGTAGGGTAGGAAAATGCGTGAGCAGAGTGCGCGCTATATAGGGGCACTGCAGCGAGCTCGATCGGTGGCGCTGTGCACAGTGGCAAGTCCTCCAGCCTACCTGTACCTGCCCGCAAGATCTTCTGTGCCCGCCACAGTCCACAGGAGAAAAATTAATAAGGCCACGTTTAGTTCCAAAACCAAATTCCTAAAAAGTGCTACAGTAGCCATTTCATCGAATCTTGTGATATGTGTATGGAGCATTAAATGTAGACGGAAAAAAAACTAATTACACAGTTTGGTTGGAAATCACGATACGAACGTTTTGAGTCTAATTAGTCCATGATTGAACACTAATTGCCAAATAAAAACGAAAGTGCTACAGTAGTCAAATTCCCAAATTTCACCAAACTAAACACAGCCTAAATGACCCCACTGGCTGGAAACCGTGCGCAGCTCGGATGACACCAAGCGCATGGGCGTGGCTGCATATGTACTCCCTCGGTAAAAAAAACGTAATTAGTTTTCAACTTGTATACGCGGCCGTGTTAAGTTGAAAGCTAGAATTATGTTTTTTTTTACGAAAAGAGTAGGTCAGCGAAGGAAACACACACCCACAGCTCCGTATGTACTGACAAATTGGACAAGCACATTACCACATGAACATTTGGAGCTTCAATTTCATATAGGAAAAAATAGGAAAAGAAAAAAAAAATCCCATGTTCTAAACCTGGTGTTAATGATATGTAAAATTGACAAATTGTCACCCCTTGATTCTCCAAACCAACTGTTCAAGGTTCAATCATGAAGCAGTACTAGTATCACTATTTACCTAAGCGGCCGTTATTTCTATGGTAAACCGGGGCTCATCGTGTCGTTTAGACTTTAGACCATGATTAAACAGTTCGTCCAAATAGGAGATAAGCATGATTAGCATGCTAAATAGACATTTAATTCATCATTTAACCAATAGGAGGATCCTATCCACGATATCGGCAACCAACTAATTTTTCTTAGAATATACACTTTTACATACATAATTTTATATATCTTTGTTAGCATATTAAACTTTTTTTTACATGAATAGATATGTATATTTTGGTAATACAAAATAAAAGAATTGTTTAGACCATTTAAAGAGTGGCTAAAGCGTCTATTTCTTGTTGACTCTAGAGTAGTGTAGTTATATGTTATTTTTCTTTTTATAGAAGATATATATATTTATACTAGCATTAATCTTTAATGCACGAAGTCCACGGTTGCTGTTTTGTTTTATTTCTTGTAGATAACGTGCTGTTTTCTATTGAACAATGAGAACTATTTGTACTGAAATGAAACAACAAGACCCTTATTAAACGCGTGGTGCTTATTTTATCCATTTCGCTGAATATATAGGGCCCCTAGCCAGAGCAAACGTCACGATTCTTTGTTTTTTTTTTGTTTGAATGAAAAAACAAATTAGAAGCAACGCTGCCGTTGATGATTGCAGTCAAGCACATTGTTTACACTAAAATTTAGCCGGCCAGGAAATATCATTGGCAAGGAACGAGTCGCATAACGTACGTGTAGGAAAGGTCAGAAAATACTGAGTCGGGGAGGAAAGTGTTGTGCCACGAAGCAGCAGTTGACATCGATAAGCCAGCCGCGAGGAGACAACGCGAAAGGGATGCGGGGGTAGGTGAGCGGGGCCCGCAGGATGTGACTTCACGGCAACGTCATCGTTGGAACAAACTGAAAGCCTCCTTTCCCTCGGCTAGCGAAAATACCCCGCTCGTCTAATTTTAGCAAGTAAGCTCAAAAAGAAAAATCTAATTTTAGCAAGTAATGACTGCTTGGCTGCCTCCATCCAAATATCTCAACTAAAAGTCTAAATAGCTGGCTTTCTCTCTCTATGTAAACTAGTATAATACCCATGCTAACGCTACAGCAGAACATAGTCAAACAAATCAAGAAACTAAAAGGCTAAATCCACCGTTGCCCTCAAGCTCAAAATACAACTACTGAAAAAAGTCAACAGACTTGTTTGCTGCAATTACACAATATATCAAGTACTTGCTTCATTTAAACGTTGTACGCTGCGACAATATCAACAACCGAAGAGAATTAACTAATCATTTATCGACTACCATAATCTAATAACAATGAAGTGAATAATTTTTTTCTTCCTCTCGCGCCAAGAAAGGAGAGGGCGAGGCAACCGCACGCACATCGTCCCACGCGCCCGCTCCTCTCGCTGGCTCAAGCTGGACCACCAGGGGACTGCACTCCTCTTGCTGGACCGCCCCGTGCCGGCCTCTGAGCTAGGGACCGCGCCGGCCGGCCGAGCGAGCTAATCCATTGATTCTATAAAGAAATTTTCATATGCAATATTGTGAAAATATAGTGAGAAGCAATGAATCCACCATACCATAGGTTCTATCATTTTACAAGGGAAACAACAATGCCCTTTAGCCAAGAAGTAACCTCACATAGTATTAAAATCAGAAATTCAACATCCCTAGCAACATAGAGTATGAACAATTGAAAGTAGATATCGTCAAAGCGACCTTAGTTCATAATCCACAAAATATTGCAAGCCTTGCCAGAAGAAACGGGGCCTGATAATGACTATATCAGGAGGGGATATACATTTGCTTTTTTGACTCGTTCCTTGCCAACTACGAAACCAAATCAACAAGTTTATGATCCTCCTTCCTGCAACAGAGCACAGCTGTTTATTTCAGACGCAGCAAACTCTGTTTAGAGAAAAAATTGCAAATTGATGGTCAAATTACTAAAGATTAAAAATAGAGGTTAGTGCTACAATACTCATTTTAAATGGTCATGGTTACTTTACTACTATTAAACTAGAGGCACACTGAGGCAGTTATGCATGCATGAGTATATAAGCAGTCAACCTTTTAAAAAAAATGGTAAACAACCATTCTGATTCATTGTTCAAGTTAATCCAACGAAGGATGCCATTTAGCTCCAACCAACTGTAGCTTCACTGGCAATATTGTAATGCACTAAAAATAGAACCAAATAGGAATGATTAGCACTGGTTTTAGTCTCGGTACAAACACAAGATGCATTCACATTGTTAGCACGGTCATCATATATTGCACAAATCTGACATAATATAGGTGTGATGTTATCTACCAATTAATCCACAAACATGTGCTAGATTATATTTTTTCAATGCTACATTTTTTCCCAACATACTAACATATGCAATAAAAAAAACATATGCAATAAAAAAGAATGGTAATGTCATATGCATAAGTGTACATATACACAGAAAGGGAGTAGTGTGGACTACATGATAACAGGAGTTATATTTATATAGCTCACGAGTCATGACCTAGAGTCCAAAAATACAGGCTTGGTTTCCACGTACTGGTACAAGAACCTGATATGCTACAATCCCTTGTGTTATACCACTAGCTTCAAATGCCAACACCTGTAAGGAACTTGGGTTAGATCAATAATTGCGAGAACAGGAATTTTATTCAAAAGACATAAACAAACTTCCATATATCTTTAGAATCAGATGGCATAATCTTCGATAAATGCAGGGGCCAACAAAAATATACCACATTACTTACCTGATATTCTGTAACTCTTAGATTGATAAATGTCAGATTAATTATCTGAAACTCATAGTCATGGCTGAACCATGTGTCATGATGGTTATCTAATACTCATAGCCATAGCATTAGTTACTACACGGTTCATGGCTGAAACTCATAGTCATGGCTGAACCATGTGTCGATGATGAGCTGGTCTCGTTAATTAGAGGATCATTGACCACATCCTCCTCCAAAGCCTTCCGGCGCAATTGCTAGGCCATGTTGGTGGTTCAGAACAAACATCACTACAAGGTTCAAAACAAATGTCACTACAGCTTTACCAGCCTTGCATGCTGTCTCCATCCAAGGAAGTGCATTGGCTAAATCCTTAAACATCATATTCACATTACGCACTACCCATGGTGAATAAAAAATATGTTTATGGACCTAGGAAAATATAATTCAAAATTTTTAAAGATTAAAAGCAAAATAGTTTTTAGCTTCTACAATTATTTACTTGTAATGAAAAGAAGATGACAAAGTATAAAATCACTGGGTACCATGTATTTGTAACTCACGCTAGGTCCTGCTCCACGTTTCTCTTGCATGCATCTAGAAGAGTGGTTCTTGCCTTCTCACTTGATGGCCATTTGTATCCCATAGGTGCTCTGTTTATGGCTGCTACCATTTCAGACCACTGGGGACTTCTCAACAGGCTGAATGGAATTCTAATAGCACACACACATGTTCAGTCAGTCGGTGAAAAATCCTGAAGAGAAAAAAATTCAAAATATTCAAACAAGAATATCTAAAGATACTGAAGTCTATATGCCACTGATCCACCTATTTTGCCATAGCAATTGCATGGACCTCTGGATAAGCTTTTGCACATTTGCAGTTTCTCACAATTATACAGGTGTATAGAATGCGTGTGAATGGTACTTTTAACGAATAATCCACAAAACAACATTCAGGTATATACATACTAAAACAACCAAATTACATTGTAGAAAAAAGGTAATATAATTATTTCAGGTAAGAAAAAACATTATATATGTCAATTTTCTAGGAGTATTACGGCTGCTGCTAGATTAGTTCATTAGAACTTAGAGATTGTATTAACCAACGATAGAGAATATTCAGTCAACTATAATTAAACAAATCTTCACAGGTCACACCATTCTACACGACTCTGAGCAAATGTAGCTCCCGGATCTTCACCATAGGGATGCTACTGAAAAAGGAGGAAAAAAACTAAAATTCTAAACCACAAGGAGAACCCAATGT